AAGAACAGGAATTGTAGCTGGACTAATCCACGGATACACGTGGCAGTGCAGTGTTAGCACACCCGGTGTCACTGTGGACAAAGGAGCTGAGGTGAGGCTTGGACCTGCCTGACCCAGTCTAGCCAGGCTCACCTTTACTCATCACATACACTAATAAATTGAAGGGAGACGTGACACTGGATTAAATCTGCTTCAAATCCAGTCTAATAGTGTGGTATGCACAGGAGCAGTTGTCATTCTGTTGTTCACCAACAATGCTGTTTTTATTTTCCAGTTACCATTCAAAACACAAAAGCAAACTGAGGCACAAGGGATCCGGCCTTCATCCTTTCAAGTAAGTGAAAGGCTCTGCCTTTGAAAGAGGACGTGCAAAGACGCATACACACCAGTTACCAACTCAGCAAAAGTGGTAGTATTACTTTTATCCTGGGCAGGGATCTAAGCCATCTCGAAATGCTGGTAAATTCTAGAAAAGGTTTCTGTTTCTGCTTTAGGCAATGTCACATCACAGGTCTCAGGCAAGCCTAGGAGCCCTTTTGGCTGCTATTTTTTTGCCTTTTTCAGTGCCACTGAATTGCAGAGCCATCATCTCCTTTTGGAAGACAAGGCATTTAATTAAAAATGTTGATTCTTTCTTTCCTTCAAAGCAGCTTATTTTATTAGCTACTTGGGGGTTTTTTAGGCATGTTCAAGTCTAACAGAGTTCGCACAACCTTCCTGTTTGACGTGTGCAGGAAAGCCCTACAGGAGAAGGACAGGCTGTGGCTTCTGCGGGAACAGAGACGGAAGAAGAAACTGCGCAAACTGCTCAAGAGAATTAAAAACAATGACACGTGCAGCATGCCTGGTCTGACCTGCTTCACACACGACAACCAGCACTGGCAAACTGCTCCCCTGTGGACACGTAAGGATACTGTAAACTAAGGAAGAGGTAGGCAGGTTCTGGCTCGGCTGGGCTGGGACGCTGGGCATAACTGGCTATGTAGGCAAACCACACAGTCTTCTCCACAGGAAACAGTTCAGGAATTCAGGAGGTAAAAACAACTGCAAATAACCTACAGATATTGTGTACTATGCAATGGTCTGTGTAGTATCTCACCGTCTGGAATATTTCCCAGAGAAAGCAACTAGACAAGATGTTGCTTAAATTAGCCTTGTCGTGAGGGTTAGGTATGCACAGAACAAGAAGCTGATGATGGAAGGCATTCTCTGCTTTAGAGCTCAGGACTGAGAGGAGCAGTCTATGAATAAAGTAGTGCCATGAACAGAAAGTCATTCACAGCGCTAAAGACAGCATCGTGTAGCTTATATCTTTGTGACTCTTCAATTTGCAGTGGGCCCTTTCTGTGCCTGTACCAGTGCCAACAACAACACATACTGGTGTTTGAGGACAATCAATGAGACCCACAACTTCCTGTTCTGTGAATTTGCCACTGGATTTTTGGAGTATTTTGATCTCAATACCGATCCATATCAGGTACCTGATCATAGACCTCGAGATCACAGCTCAAGAAATACATCACTGTTCCTTACTGATGATAAATTGAAATGACATGGTATTGCTGCAGGATGGAGTTAAGGCCTATATCATTTAAGCTAGTATAATGTGGCTCTTTCCTGTTACAAATAAACCACCTGTATTCCATATATGAAAGTTACCAAACTACAGAGCAAAAGTTACTAACAAGAAACCCCTATTTATTGCAGCTAATTAATGCAGTGAATACACTCGACAGAGATGTTCTCAATCAACTGCATGTCCAGCTCATGGAACTCAGAAGCTGCAAAGGGTATAAACAATGCAATCCAAGAACCAGGAACATGGATATAGGTAAGTGCCTCTCCTGCTGCACTCATAAACTCCCCAAAGGAAACTGGGCTCCCTCTTACCATTACAAAACTTGAATCAGTCAAAAAGATTTTAGCATTTGTTTATACTAGTAATGTCCTGCTGAGGCTGACAGCTGATACTCAGATTTTTTATGTGTTCAATTTGTGTTAGTTTTTTTTATGAAGAATGATACTTAAATAGTGTAGTGATGAGTATTGCTGAGATGCAGGAGGAGAAGAGGAAGGAACAATACTGGTGAAAGAGGG